TGCAACGTAATGGACGACCGATTTAGCGTTAAATTTGACTAACATTCGACAATAAATCGTAGCGCCGGATCGTATCCGAGTTCTTTATTTGTATTCGACGTATTTATGAAATTGCGGTTCTGAGGAAGGCCAAGTATGGCCGAAACGTAAACCATTTTGTTTGTAATTTGTAATTTGAATATATAAATTTTATACACCCTGCTTATCATTAAATATTTTATTCTTCTTTTTTTCATTACTCGAACGTTTGCGCTTAGAAAGTAGAAGTAAGTAAATTCAAATATTGGTTTTGTTAATTTGTTTGCTCATTCGTAGGAATAGAAACATGTCTAGAACTGGCAGTGCCCTTCACGAAATATTTCAACGGACGTTTGCGACTGAAAATAAAGTTTGACAAATATCTCGACTACATCGTGGAAACGGAGAAGGAAGTTTATATCGAGCACGATTCCCTAATCACATTTGTCGAGACAGATAAGCCGGTCTATAAACCCGGGCAAGATGTGAACATTAGAATCCTCATACTCAAGCACGACCTGAAGCCATGGAAGAAAACGGTTCGTCGCTCGCTATCCGTTAATATAAAATAAATATTAATGCAATAATAACTGAGCAGTAGTAATAATATATTTCAACAGTAATAATATAATATATATTTGTACCTTATAGAGAGAGGTAAAGAATCGTATCTCCAGGTTTTATCAAAATTAGAGTTAATACTTTTTCCAATACACCAGGAATTAAAATTATATTATAGTAAAGAGTCTTATGTCCACTATTACCAGTTCTTAAGGTACAATGTTTAGAAAAAATCGTATTGACAATTTTCATAGAAATAATAAATATAACTATAATAAATAAAAATAATAAATGAACTTTAAATCCTGTTTTCTCTAAATTCCTAATAATAGAGATATGATTTTTTACTTTTATGGTACAGATATATTCTCTAAGGAGAAACGATTTATTCGTATAGAGTTCTAATTTATAGACTCAACTAGAAAGAAAAGAACTTTTATTTAATAATGCCGAGCTTGCCTCTCTTTCTAGATACCAAAAGTATGGATTGAGAATCCATCCGAGGTACGAGTGGCACAGTGGGCTAACGTCAGTACCGAAAATGGAATGGCACAACTAAAATTCGCTCTATCTCCGGAACCAAGTCCGGTAATACGATCGTGATCCTAAACGAGAGCATGTAACGAAGAACGTGATAACGACAATGCTAAGAATTCTTATTTGTGCTATAGGGTGCCTGGAAAATTAAAGTGGAAAAGAGGAGATCGCAACCGCAATTGGTCCATACAACCGTGTTCGAAGTAAAGAAATATGTCCTTCCCAGATTCCAAGTGACCATAACTTCACCGGGATACATTCTCGCGGATGCGGAGAACGTTACGTGGAACATATGTGCTAAGTAAATGCTCGTTTTGATAATTAATCGGTGAATCGAAGCATTTACTGCGCGAAATTATCTTACATCCATTTTATTTACAGATACAGTTATGGCAAACCGGTCAAGGGTAAATTACTCTTGAAATCGACGCCTCAAATACCGACATGGAGACGGAAGCCTAATCTCCCGGAAATACATTATGAAACGGAGGTCAGTAACCCCTTCGGTCGGTCGACAAATTAATGTTTATTTTATAAGTTACAAAATTGCTACTTAAATGATTTTCCAATCATATTTGATTTATAAAAATCTAACTCAAATATTTTATAAACGTACGTAATGTGATATGTAAATTCGACATATCTCGCGCGGATTTAAAACTAGCCGATTATTGCAGCTGGATTCGCCAGATGGTTGCACCGAATTTGTTCTATCGGGCGCGGTGCTTGGGCTTGCTCAATGGAAAGTGGCACCGAACAATATTGTCCTCATAGCTAATTTCACCGAGACCGGTACCGGCATAGTAGAGACGACGATTAGTCGAACCGTAGTCGTGCATCAGGCCCTAAAACTGGAATTCCTGCCGTACACGCCGAAATATTTTAAACTAGGTTTGCCATATCACGGAAAGGTAAGTAAAGATCGCAAATAATCGATAATCATTTTAACTTCTTCTAAGACTTATAAGCTTTGATCGGGATCTTTGCTTCATGAATTTGAATAAAAGTATGCTCTTTATGTAGAAATGTGCGAACTATTCGAATACGAATCTCACTCGATTCGATTTGATTCGAATTCTTCGAATTTCTATAATTCGAATCTGAACTATTCAAAAATTTCGAATCTAGATGGTTCGAATTATACGAATCATATACTGTCAATCTTATAAAAATTATATTTCCTGTTAATAAGCAAAACAGTACGGTCATGTTAATAAATGCATTCAGTGAGTGCATTAAGTATTAAAATCTCTTACTATAAGCGTTAATTGTAAATAGCAGTAAAAAAGTTTATTTCTAATTTTTGATTATCTAATTCTAATTGTAAGTAAAAGTTTGAATATACATAAAAAATAGTAAGCTATGAGTATTGATAATAAAGTAAATTATATATTATTATATTTGAATTTCTGTGTACGTAATTGGACAATGTTATTGGATACTACATTAGAGTATTTTAATAATTTATATATTTTTTGGCTAATTGTTTCCATTACTACGACATGCATTAAATAATATTTTATTAGTTTTATATTAAATATTTGAATCTTTTTTGCCTTAAAAAGAATTTATATTATATAATCAATATTATTTTTCCACATCAAAATATTCTCTTATTATCTACGTGTTAAAATTTAATCTAATAATAATTATATTGTTAATTAAAATTGATATTTCAACGATTCTATTCGCTTTAATTCGAATAAAATTTTGTCGATTCAAATTCGAAAAAAAGACAAAATTTGATTTGACATAAAAAAATCCTTGATTTGCAGATCTCTATCTTTATGGAATGCGAAATAAATCTCTTTTACAGTTACGTGTCTCGCGGCACGACGACACCCCGGCACCGCACGAGAAGATTCAACTCTGCGTGCGAGTACGTGGTAAGGATGAATGGCTTCGCGTGGTGGTTGAATGCCGCAACTTCACATCTTCGTCCGACGGTTTTGTCGACTTCGTCGTACCACCACCGCATAGGAACATCGTCCTGCTGAGTTTCGTCGCGACCGGTGTCGACTATCCCACGAAATACTATTCGCCGGATACGCGTTGGCGAGTACGTCGAGCAGCTGTTATATATTTTGAAAAAAAGAGTTACATACTTTCCAAACATATAAAAAATGTCTTGTTTTTATTAGATTATTTTTTAATGATTTATTTGATTAATCTGAAGACGATTTATTTAAAAAAAAAGATTGAGACACAATCTTCGAGTACATTGTTTATTTAAAACATTTTGTATAAGCATAAGGTCGTTCGTGCATTTATAATTTATTGTAAATCGTAATTAGGTCTTCATGGATCAACCGTCGGCGCATATCGAAGTGAATCCTTGGTACTCACCATCAGATAGCTATTTGGCGGTAGCCCGAGGTTATCAACCGATCGTTTGCGGTGAAAAGTACTCGTTCAACGTCATGTACACGGTGCCGGCGAAAAGTAAAACCAACGAGTCCATTTCCTTTCATTACTCGATCAATTCCAAGGGGGACTTGTTAATATATGGTCACGTGAAACACCGGCCGACCAGAGATACGGTCTTGAATTATTCGGAATTCCGGAATTTGTTAGGTGCCGTCGAATCACCAGGAAATAAGACGGATCAGGGTACCATCGCTCATAGGTAATACTTCAATTAAATAATATTTTATTTGCCGATCTCATGAATATCCCGCAAATATATTTTCGGAAACCTTTGGACGCGCTCTGAATTACCTTTTGTTTATTTAGAAAAAAATTAGAGGATCGTAGATTTCAAGGTTTCTCACATCGACACTTCTCGTTTCTCCAGATTCCCCCTCAGCGTCAAGATCACCCCGTCAATGGCACCTGTCTCTGAATTGTTACTATATTACGTTCGTTCGGACGGCGAGGTTGTCGCTACCACGTATTCCATCAAAGTCGGACACTGCTTCGAGAATAAAGTGAAGACCGCCTGGCATACCGACGCTCAGACCCCGGGAACAGCCACTCAGTACCACGTGGAAGCCGCCCCCTGGTCTCTCTGCGGTATCTCGGCAGTCGACAAGTCGACTCGTTTCTTAGCAGGAGCCAAAGCAAACCTGATCGACGCTGATCAGACTTTCACGCAGCTGAAGAGATTCCATATCGAGCCAGAGCCACGTCCTATTTGGACGTGGACTCATTGCAAAGGTATACAAAATGATAAGACACAATACAGATAGTCGAATATAACAGTACATTAATCCCTATAGTTCCTCATTTTTTATTAGATCTTTTAATGCATATTATTCCAAATTGCTATAATGATAAACTTGATAAACTTATTATTCAAATATGATACTCGCAACTGATTTTCTATTTTTCTGTTTTTCATTCAGATCTCTCATTTTTACGAAATAAGTGTCTGGATATTTATGTGATTGTCTAATATCCCACTTGGATTAATGTAAAGTTATTACGATATCCGGTTAACGTGAAACACAATTCACGTGATATAAATCCTTCACAGTTGCAACGCACGAAGAAACAACCAACACGGAATTCGATCATTTGCCACTTCCCGCTTTTGAAGAGTCACCCGCATGGGCACGCAAAAGGAGAAGAAGAACGGTGTACAACGGCGCGCTTGTGAATTACGTGGACGCCATACAAGCGTTCGATGTGAGAACTTTCTGGAAATGTAAATAAATTCTAAGATTGTAAGAAAGACAATTATATGTCCATTGGATCTTTCCCCGTATTTCAGGACTTCGGAGCCGTCGTGATGAGTGATCTGATACTCGAAACGCGGCCTTGCCATCAGCTTCGCAGAGGTAGAGGCAGGAGTATGAACGTGAGCCTGAAAAGCATGGCCCCGATTCCTTTCCTCTCAGCGTCCGCGGAGCTGGAAACGGATGCTGGTGCGTTTTTAGGAAAAATGGCTTAATTGTCCATAGATAATGTTTTTTTCTTAAGCTAACTTAATTAATTATCATACTATCGTATTATCTCGATAGGAATGTTTAAAATGGCGAAGACACTACCTATGGCGTATCCATTATTAAATGTGGGGCCCGAACAGGGATATATGGATCAAGTACCCGATCAACCTGCTCTCAGATCTTACTTCCCCGAAACATGGCTGTGGGAATTAGTGCCGACAGGGTATACATTTAAATTCGTAGCTTACTATATGTATAATTATCTTTAATCAAAGACAACTTCGTGATAATCGTGTTTCCCCGACTAATCTTTAATTTTTTTTTTTTTTTTTTTTTTTTTTTTTTTTTTTTTTTTTTTT